GACGATGCTGTATCTGAGGTGAAGGCCGGGGTAATGGGGTGAAGAAGCCAGGCGCGGATCATGACACAAGAATTCCTATACGACGCGCTTCATTTTAACCGGACGTTCCTATGCGATAAGTTGCTGACTTGCGGCTGCGCAGCGTGTTGTATAATCACTACGGGCTGCGGAAACAGCAAGGTTATCTATAAAGTGGCAACTGCCCTAAAAATGTTTCCGTGTTAGAAAAATACCAACTAGCTCTAATATACAAGGAGTATTTCACAGCTTAACGTCTGTAAATAGGCTCAATTTTAGTTTAAGGTTCTATAGAGATTACTGTACAGAGAGCTTATCTTTATTTGTCAATGTGCAATTCATGCCATCCATAGGGTAGTTTAGTGTCTACGCAAGGGCTTGTCCTCATTCTTACGTCATTTACGTCTGTCGTTTTCATCGACAGCATGACGGCTTTGTGAAGTCGAGACATCAGGGCGGAACCATTATACTCGTATGTTGCACAGGTACGGCACAGTACCGTATCAGACGCCTCTGCCTAATAGCGGTGGCGTTGTCGCTAAGCTAAATGGGCCGTGACCTGCAAGCCCGGTGAGCTTCGCTCAGCCTCGAACGGAGTCGTGAACCCAGGACCATTCGTGGCCTTCAGGGCTCATCGTCTTCACAGCGGTCAAAGGGTCATGAGCACAAACAACTAAATGGTAATGGTAGTCCTCTCGCAATGGTCGCGCGCTCATACTCCATCCCTGGTGCCCTTAATCTGTCTAAGCCGCTGCTGAGCAGAGCCGAACAATCGATTAGGTGACAAAGAAGTACAACTCCAATGGCTTTCGCATATGAAGATATACTATTATTATGTCGTATCAGGCAATCTTCTAATCCGTGCAGAAAGCTATGTCACTTATACATTGAAGATCTCTTATTGCAAGTACTACACAGGCCAGTGGAATCGAAATAAGGCCTTGTAATGAAAAGCTTCAAAAATGTGGTCTTCTTTTTTGTCTATTCACGGAAGCAAAGCGAGTTTTGCTAAAAAAAATCTTTATGATCCTCTTAGATCCTGGGGAATATCAGCTGGATCCGTGGTTTTCACAATTTTCTAAAACCTGATACTGACGAAGTAGAAAAAAAGCTATAACGGGATTATATTGTTAAAGTGCAGGGATTTCTAGTTGCACTATGGTAGAGCAAATTTACCAAAAAATAGTTAATGTGCTACTTAACCGCTGTACTAAAATTATCCAGAAGACCTTGAGAACTCGCATTTGTGGAGCCAACTCATAGTTGGCTCGCTTCGGCTATATTTGGAAAATCACTAAGCGACTAGCTTCTGTGATTTTCAGCTGGATGGATGATTTGACCTTAGTAAGCGTCTGCCGATTATAACACAGGAGCTTTTCTTCATATAAAGTCTTGAATTTGTGTATATGGCAAACATTTCGATCATACAGTATTAACGAGTTTAACGCGCGCACATTTAAACCCAGAAATTTCAATATCAGATGCATTGCACACGTGAGTTACTCATAATTACATCTAAAAGTCTAAAAAAAAAAATGAGAAATTAAGTTATAATTAATCTTAATTCACAGACTAGGGATTGCTGAATTTCAATTAATTGCAATAAAAAAATGTCGAACTTCACAGTTTCTGCCACAACTTGAACATAATGGGCATTTTTCGGTGTTTTTTTTTAACAGATTGGAAAATTTTAACTTTAATCAAACTTGTACTTTAAAAAACAACATGTTGCCTCCAATGTACTATTCGACAGAAGTATAAAGTCGAATATTAACAGAACAGACGAATCGTACACACGATATAATGGACCCTGATCGTGAGGAAAATGAAAATCCAGAACTATTTTCTAGATGAATCGCAAATACGTGCAGGTGTCAAAATTTGTGGGTCAGTAATTTTCTCCAGTGCCAACTCTGGCTTCCTTGGGCCAAACGAAATGGGTCGAAGCATTATGTGATAAAGCCACAGATACACAGATATGCGTTGACCTCGTGTTCGCACCAGACCGGTGTTTTCCAATCATGCACGCTTTGAAACACATTGGGGAGGAATAACCCATCAAATTAATTCCATCATTCTTCAGACTTTCTATTTTTCGATAACAATGCATCAGGTTTAAATGCACAATAACATAAGAATCACTAAAATTCAATGGGCCAACAATGACCTTGCCAATTGTTGCACTGTTTATAGCAAGCCAGTTAACTGTCTGCCTTACTTCCGAATTCAATATCTCGTGACCTTTAGCTCTTTATATGATGAGCTTCTCGACGTATCGTGTGGGCCCGTGATTTCTTGCCAAGGATTTGGCGTTCTAACGCTGAATATGGTGTGCAGACGCATACATGGTATTGTACAACAAAATGTGGGCGATGGCTGTGACACCAGTGGACTGGTATCTCATCTGCCGCAGAAATCAGAAGCTCTCAATTATAATAGTTCCCGCACAAATTCCCAATTATGTCCTCGAACTAATGTCAAACTTATCTATGATTTCAACCATGGTTATGGCTAGGGAAAAGGGAGTAAATTTAGTGTACCAGCTTTTTGCTAGTAACGAAAATCTGCACAACCCGTTCAGGAAGTTTATTCCCCATAGGATGAAGACAATACCTGAGATATATAAGCTTTTCTGACAATTACCATTCCTAAAAAGCGGTCTTAGATAATTCTCATCGAAGCTCAGAATAGAGTGGAGTGTGTTGTTTTCGAAAATGCCATTCTGTTATAAGCATAGCAGGCCGTCTTCTGAACAGTGCTTCTAACTACAGGGTCCCTCTCACATACCTCGGACCGTTTTGGCAGCTAAGAATACATTGTTTCGGTACACTCCATATTCGTTTTCCGAAACTTTATTTTAATGCACAGTTTGACGATCCGAATCAGACGCCTCGCAGAGCAAAGGAGGACCTTTCTTGCCGTAACGGCAAGAAAGAACAATTATTATCAGTATGCCCGTGTAACGCTGGGCCTGTGACCGAAAAAAGCCAAAGGTCGCTGGATTAAGCCTCGCCAACGGAACACATAACATACTAGCCAACAAGTGTAATTAAATTAAGAGATAACAATGCCATTTGACTATCAGCCAGGAATAGGAAATAGAATAAGTGCATTAAGCTACCTTCTTGAGAAGCTAACATCAGCGAAATTCTAATGATACGAGGGCAGCCGCCTAGAATATTCACAGGTACACAGCTCTACGCGTATGCACATTCGTAAACAAATACATATGCGAGTGTTCTCGTCCACAGGAATCACAGTTCTCCTAGCCGTTCCCGTCTCCTGTAAACAATCCAAGCCTTTTGCTACCCTAGCTCATCTGCCAATGGCAGTCGCAGGGCGACTCGTGTTTGTCGTACGAAACCCGTCATAGAAAATCATTGTCCTATTGCCACTCTGTTCGGGGGCTTTGCCTCAATTCTACCGCCATTGGCCACTTTTATCCTTACCGTTTGTATTTCCCCGTTTACTTCACTAATTTGCTCTTTCTCCGCCCGGTCGAAGCTTTCCCGTCTGTTTGGCGAACGACAGCAAGAAGCGAGCGTCCAGCCGTGTTACACACCTCTTGAACTTCTACAACAAAGAAACGACCGGCGCCACGCTGTTGTGTCGTCTCCGGTGCTACCAATGAGAGGCGAAACGAGTGGTGAGTGGCGGGGTATGCCAGGGGTGTTTTCTTGCGTTTCATTCCTGTCCTATGTATTGCGGTTTGCTGGCGACCGTTGCCTGGCCGTTGATGTTGCCTCGAGTCTCTGGGCGGTTTTGGTGCTGCTCCTGGTAACACTGGTAGGTAACACCGTCGTTGTTACTGCTGTTACTTTGAAACACTTCACAGTGAAGGGACAAACAGGCATCTTAGTCTTTTCGTTTTATAAGAACAGCAACAGTCGAAAACGACCACGGCAGCGAAATGACAATACGTGTTGGAATGGTGGCGAAACGCGACAGGACCTAAAACAAGTCTCGTATGGCTTTGGCGACGATTGAGACGAAGTTGCAGTGGTATAGAGTAGCAAGTGTCGACGCAAGCGCCGCCGCGTTTCCACTACAGATTAAGCGGGTAAACGAAAAACGCAGGGTCGAAAAAATTGACGTGTTTTTACATAGAATAAAAAAATAATTGCTACGTAGAAGTCGTGTATCATCAGGACAACCTGCAACATATATGTGCGTAAAGAAAAGGCAACGAAAGGGTACCGCAATTGTGTTCAATCAATTCAAAGAAAACTATTCATCTTAATTAAAATGAGAAAATATAAGCGAAAATAAGATAAAAACGAGCAACAAACAAGAAAGAGACGCGTCAAATGAAAAACAAGGATGAAGATGTAAGTATAAGCAGTAGAATTCCGCTTTAATATTGTAGCTTCTGCAAACTAAAACGACAACAGTAAACATAGCAAATGTATAAAAAGAAGTAATCTTGAAACTGCTGCACTGCACAAAAGATACGTAGCAGGCAGTATAACGAGACATTACGTGCATGTGATGGGATCGTTGAGACAGGCCACGAAGTAAAAATCGAACTCTCATCAAGGACAACGTAACAATCCAATTTCCTGTCCGCTCCTATAGGCCATGAGGTACGGGAAGTAGACTATCTAGAAGGACGAACGAGAAGTAAGAGGCCGCGGCCCTGTTCGAACATTATCGCTAAAATAAGGCTAAGCGAGTGAATGAGAAAAGTAGGATGAGCGCTCGTGGAGCCGTGAGGTAACAGGTGGGACAGAGCCTGTTTAATCAAGTCACTAATTTGAACACAACCTTAAATCCCTTATCCCTTTTCGACGCGTACGTTTATATTTAACTAATAACAAAACGACGATGCGTACATGCAAACAGGGTTCTAATATGACGGTAGAGTTCGATTTTTAGTAAATAAGCCATTGGTATCTTACTTCTACTAACGTCTATGTTAGTTTATAGATTTCAGCACGAGGGAATCTGATACCTAACGTCGTATTGTATTTTATTTCTCACAGGAAGCCGGCTGCCAACGCTCATGAAGCCTTCGAACTTGGCAACATAAAGTCCACAATCAGGAACTTGCCAAACACCCAAATCGGGTCCAAAGTATTCGGGTAAGTTGATATTAACTCTTTCTCATAAACGAATACGTTTTACGAGAAATACGTTTTGGAGAAAGTCGTTGCTTATCTCATTCAACTCTAGATTTTTCGAATTGTTACTGTACCTAGTCCACTAGCCAATATCGCTTTAATAACGTCAATAGTATGGCACAAAGCCGACTAAATACTTTTTCATTGGCAGAAGATAGTTTGTTTAAAAGGAACAACACATTCTCCCGTTTCCTAATTATTGCCGATCTCTTGCACAGCTCGTTGCCAGGATAGTCTCTTCATGGGGCCGCTTATGGTCTCCGTGTGCCGGGCCGACATGTACGTACGTCTAAGCTAAAGCTTAAGTAGACAACCGTTCCTATGCTTTGGCGGAAATTCTTCGTTCGCTTCCTCCCCTGGATACACTTGCCGATGAGTGAGGCCATCAGACATTTTGCTCTAAGGGTGGCCGCACCTCCGTCTATGCCCTGTGGTAAACCTTGGCGGGTAAGCAGTCGTCTCTTTTTATTTGCTGCTGCTAGTACGACTGCTTAGAGCCGGCTCCGCTCCTCCTTTCACAACGCTGTCTCCTGTCTTCTGCTTACTTACGCGAATATCTCTATCAACCAGACGCCGTGCACTCAAAGAGAATCCTCAATAAGGCTGCATTCCAATCTCTTGGACCAAGGCCAAGCCGCGGTAGGATGGCAGGCGACAGGCCCAGGAATCCCAGAACTTTGTCGCCTGTGAAGTTGTACAGCATTCTCTGTGCCGCTGACTGCGCTGACGATGCTGTCGATGCTACCGCCGTAGTGACGACGAGTCGGTTGAGAGAAGGGACCATTTAAGGCTATTGTACACCCCCTCGATTAATCCTGCCAATCCTCGGGAACAATAATAGTGTTCATGATGTACCCCCTATTCAGTATTGCCGCCGTAGACAGTCAATCACATACGAGAGACCACAAACAAACGAGCATTAGCAACAACGATAACGAGGAGAAACAGCAAGGAGAAAGTATTTGGACGAACACAATTAAATCACAACGAGAAAACGCAGAAATATTTGGTGCCGACTTTTGTCAATGCGGAAACTTGCCCCGACGCAAGAAGCTGACTCGAACTTGATACTGCAGTGGATTCGACAACCAGCACCATAAGACAATAATTAAACTTTTTATTTACTATGAAATTAAGCAAAGACCACGTCTGTACACGCACATGTTGCCCCTCTTAGCAAGCATCGTTCGTGAAGCATTTTTAATCAAATATCAGTCATGGTACTCTAGTGACTGGCTCAAGAGAACGAGGTAGACAATAAATTACTTACTGAAAAACTGTATATATATAGCTTTGATATGCACTGAAGGTTTCACGACAGGCACACGTATAGGCTCCGGCAGTCGGGCTAAATCTACGCACAGAAATCATGAGGCATTCTGATCAACTCGCAAGAACGTGGGCTTTGACTATTTTCCGTAAATCGTACACCAAGCAGCTAAGGTGACTGAGACACAGCCAGGTCGGGAAAAGGCACAAAAGGAAGAGATACAAGCATGGTAAGATTGCACTGGTAAGACGAGATAATTACGCCCCTGTGTTACACGTGTCGCCAGGCAGCGCAGTGTCATGCGCATAACTTTCGAAATACTGCAAAGGAAAGTGCACTTGAAACGAGACCAATTTCGAATATAGCACGACTACAGGTTGGGATAATGCAATTGAGCGTCAAACGTAACTACACAGTGAACTATAATTGAGAACTTCAGTAACACGGAAAAGCTACTGAACCTTGGATGGGGACTTAACCTAACGTTTCATAATTGTAAGTCCGGTGCTCTATCCATCCCCCTAGACCCCTAAAACCCCTAAGCATTGTGCCGCGCGCACCCATTTTAACGATAAAGTACCTTCAAGCAGTTGCTGTGGTAAGTGCGTTCTTCTTTTACTGAAATCAGATAAGACTTGTTTCGTTTTTCTCAAAGTGCATCCTGCACTACAATTCCAGTATAAACGTAATTACAAGCGTGCGCAAAGAAGACCGTGAACGAGTTAGCTTGAGTTGTTATGCTATTTATATATGACCGAAATCCTCGACCCGAGCTCTTTAAGAGCCGAAAACAGAGTAGTTCGAAGTAAACATCGCTGATGAAACTGTTCCTTTGTAAACACATAGCATCTTAAGCAAAGCGAATTAGGCCAAGGCTGGTTGGTATCATAGAAAGCTTGCGCAACAGCCATGTTTCTTTCGTTCCATAGGTGTCATGAACCATATTGTAACCTCATTAAATAGCTACACTTTTATGTCTCATGGCGGAGCTAGTTAGCCGTTCATGTTGAATGTATTATAAGTTTCCTGGTGATAAACTTGTTATTTGTTATTACGTAATGATATTCGCCATAATTACCAAAATGTTGTCCGTCTAAATCGGAACAAATACTTTCAAACATGGAGCCATTTCAACGAAGGCAATTCGACGAAGTACTATTTGCGTTAATAGCTCATTGTAATTGCCATTCACCAGCGTATTTCAAATCCAAGACCAGATCCAAAGAACACGTCGACCTTGACCTATTGTTGGAAAGCTTATTACTATTGCGCGCTCGCTGCTGCAAATGGCAGACAGAATAAGACTGCAGTTATCATTGCTGGGCAGATTCGTTTAGCAAGCCACTGTAACGTGGGTCCTAACAAAAGCAACAACGAATGTACACGGTAGACCGGATCGCTGTCGTCCGTCGATATAGCAGTTGATCGCTCCAACGTCTCAGTCACCCGCTGCCCTATGCAACTTTCAGGCTTAGTGCCGGACGGAGTGGCACGCTCAGCCTGGGACTCGAGGAATGTTCGGTCCAAGTTAAAACGAGACTCTTTTCATAAATACTAAAATGATATTTTTCTTGTTTTTGTCTCGCTCTCTCTCACCGTACTCGCGGAGACTCGAGCACGAGAGACGCAATGCGTTTTTTTTTTTGTATGGCCGATGAATAGGACCACGGCCGGCCAAAGCAGGCCGGAGACACATGTCCTGCCATGGACAGCTAATGGACGACTCACAAAGGCAGCAGTACTCGCGAATGGAACGAGCTCCAGCTCACGCGAGCAGGAGACCCGGAAACCTTTTACATTAGGACTCCACTTCTGGAATACAACTGGATTGAACCGCTCGAGTTTTAATTTCTATCCGCTAGAATTTTTACTTACTTTTATGCTGTTTTTCTCCGGCAGCTAGACTGCTGACGACACATCGCTAACCGACTTAATATTAGAACTGAGCAGCAAATTGGGTTAGACTTTATTCACTTGGCAAGTTTGTTTACCAGGCATATGGTAAGAATCTAGCGTAACGCTATTGCGCCATTGTGAAACAAAATTTCCTACCACCCATACCATTCGCATGGCTATAGCTCTCGCTTCACGAAAAGCTGATATTTCTTTGTTGTAAGGCGAATTTATTTCAAGCAGCTGTAATTCACGTTGCGATCTACCACTTCAGGCTAATTAAGGAACATCGCTTCTTGCGATTACTCGTACGATGAGGTTCGTTTCAGTAGTTGCAGGGAGAGAGTATATTTGGCCTGATTTTATAAATATCTCTTTGTTCACTACAAATAATCTCACTCGCGATAATGACATTAATACGTAGTCTTGGTTGTGTCTTTTTTATCGACGCTGAATATCCTTGTATGACCGTTCATTGATATATGTAGGATGTGTGCGTATTCCCATCTGAGCGAAATGGCTGCAGCGAGAAAAACTAAACAAAGAGATACAGCGGCAAAATGATAGGCAGAAAGCGACTTGCGAGAGAGACCCGAAAAGTACAAATAGCGATCCTCAGGGAGCTTCCCAAAGGACGTCTTGCAACGATAACAGAATCGGCGGGACAGGATAAAAGTGGAACAGAAAAATCGAAAGAGAGAAATCAACCATCAGATGAAACAATAAAATAGCAAAGAATAGTCTCATGGAAGCTAGCCGAACAACTAAAACTCGAGCAGCGAAGCGCCAGTTGAGGCGCACGAAGGCCACTCGCCCCAGGCTTTCCCATTCTCCCTAAAACCCAGCTACGATGTACTGACTGCATCCTTCCTGTATCACCTTCCAAAATCTAGGGAAGACTGATGGAGTTTTAATGCGAGACGACAGCATGTAAAACGAACTTAGCTTGGAAGGGGAGGGAGAATCCGATGGGCGGGAACATACAATATTTCTATCGAGACCTCCAGCTTTGGCTAGGGAGTTCCATGGGGCTCGATTCGCCCGGTCCTTGCTGCGCCCTCCTATACCATTGTCGAAACGTATGAACGGAACAAAAGCCAGAACAGCAAAGAGTGAGCCGGGTATACTTCGCCTCTGCCAGGCGCATAGACACCGATACAAAGGGATAAATCAAGGCTGCCAACATCAATGCACTGGATAGAATGTAACACACTGATCTCAACACCCCGAGGTGTAACGATCCAGGCATAAGCGACACACGTACATAGTGAGAGCTGGTGACGCTGTGAAGTGAAACGGCGGCAGGGGGGTAAGAGTCGGCGTACCGAGCTTACAGCTGTCAGGAAATGTTTCGCGGAAGCAAACAAGTATAAATGTCCAACGCGAAAGATGGACAGAGAAAGATTGTCTCTAAATTACCCTTCCCATGTGTGTGCAAGAGACAGCGTCTCAAGCTTTACCCGAGTTTCCTCTATGTATACCAGTGGAGAGTTGCGATATCGAAGCTGTACACAGGTGTACATACGCTATTGAGCGTAACAATAAAACGCTAGATATTCGATTGCAAGAGGAGTTAAGTTCAAGGCCACCAGATAACTGAGCAAAGGATCAAGCTGTAAGGATTCTATGTTCGCGTCTGGATGCTCAATATTACCTAAATGGATAATAAATTATAGTATTTTCCAGCACTCTTCTGCATTTCCAGCATATCTATTAGCTAATAAATATCAATTCTGCAACATTTTTATTACTTTTTTTTTTCTCATTGTATCGTTAGTGCGTCTAATAGAAAAACATG